GCACAGTTGTGTCCTCTCTGGTTTCTGCTTGGCACAGGGACATGACACTGCACGAGCTCCCTAGCAGCAGAGGGGGTAGCAGCTGGAAGCATTCACATCCATCCCAAGCCAAGCCATGCCCAGTCCCCTCACTGAATCCATCCAAACACACTGGAGGGACGTTCTTGTCAGCTTTGTTGCCTGCCCACTGCTATACTCCACTGCCCCTCTCCAATATGGAACAGAGCAACACGGCCAGAGATAATGAGGTTTTGATCAGGCGAGGCGCTGCCAACAGCAAACAGTGCAGGCACACAGAGATCAAATAGACCAGCTGCAAACAGAGCGAGGAGAAAAGCACGGGGCGCCTCTGCCTGCTGGCTGGGGTGTGGGTATGTGTGTCATGCAGGAGGCAGAGGCGGCATGGCCGAGGTCTCCCAGTGAGAGCTGGAGAGAATTCCAGGCAGCCTCCTCTCCCGGGACCGCAGCCCCTGCTCGCACACAGAGGCAGCCAGACGTGAACAGCAGAAAGCTTTCCCAGGCTCTGCCTTTCTGCAGAGCAGTGGGTGCTTGTCCTCCAAAATGATTGTAATTAAAAGGGGCATAGGCGAAGGGGGAGTGGGGTGCCTTTTCGCCACATCTTCATAGTCTGCAAACAGTGCAAAAGGGATTTTTCCTCACAATATCCTTCTCCATGCCCCTTCCAGTACAGCCCCCCATCCTTCTGGACCAAAGGGTCTGAGTGAAATATTTGCCTTCTGGAGACAAGCTCATGAGCAATAACTTTCAGGGTAATTTACATCTATTTACTGGAGTTAATAAATACGTAAATTTATTTAAAAACTGTGGACCTAGATCCCTTTAGAAAGGCAGACACAGAGCCTGATTTGGATGGCTGCTAAGCTGGTGCAATTGCAAAATAATGCTGTAAAGATTTCTTCTATTCCCTTTTCCTTCAGAATCCATTATATGAGGCTTGAACCTGAATTCCGTGGATACTTTCTTCTTTTTTATACTTTACACCTAGAGGAATTTGGAAACAAGAGCTTTCTGAACTGTGACATCCACATATGCTTTTTAGGGAAGAGAGCCAATACAGAGATGGAGACATTTTACCTGGTTTAATATCTGAATTACTGCTGGGAAAATGTCCACCAGGAGTGGGGACACATAGCAGCAGAACATGGCATGATATGGAAGATTGAGAATTGTGTGAATTCCAAACACAGAAAGCTCTCAAAATCTTGTAAATACAAGCTTAGATACAGACATGGACACAGGATTTGACCTGAGACCTTCCAGACTTAGAATCATAAGAATGTGAGTTTGAATAGAAAGACATTAAGTTGTAAGAAATTTAAAGGTTTTAAAGTTAAGATACAGAAGTAATTATCAAAGTAATGAGAAGTTTAAGGTATAATAAGTAGTTTTGTGTTTCACTGTGTGATTGGATAAGAAAAGTCTGCTCTGCAGCAGAGAAGTATAAAACAAAATGATTAGTTATTAGTATAATTAGTATCATTAATATAATTAGTATTAGTTATGGTGTGAAAGTAGAAACATTCTTTCGTGACATTAGTTTATTGGCTAAATAACCTTTAAAAGGTCTTGTGACCTGTAGACTTGTGACCACTTACTAAGAATATCTGAATAATGTGAAGACATACTTGCTCCTTCATGAGACTAGAAGAAAAATAATAAATCATGCTTTGAAACATTTCCCTGTGGTCCCATCTCTCTCAAAATCTCAATACAGAATTAATTATGGGATGATCTGGAGACACCAGACTCCACTGCCTGAAAGCTGATGGCACATTGGAGGGTCCATTCCTCTCTCTGGCCTGGAACGCCTGACACTGATTTTTTGCTTCCATGGGTAATATCCTGCTTTAATGGTTTCCTGTGCTAATAACTTCTGACTGACAGTGTCTGTGTTACAGCATAAAGACCCTGAAGGTGAGCGTCTTCCACCTGTCACACCTGGTGCAAACTGAAAGTGGTGCCTCCATGCCTGTGGGGTTTTTTCCCAGGTGCGAACAAAAACCAGAGGGTTCTGTAGCAGCAGGACCAGGGTTTCATAGGTAGCCTGCACACAAGCTCACACACACATGAATACAGACAGCTTGAAAGCAAACCCAAACCTCATTGTTTCATTCCTAGCTGGAAATGCATTGCTTTTCCTCTCCAAAAAGTTCATTGGAGGCCTTTATAGAAAGACTGATGTCTAATCATGTGGCAGGTTTAAGAATGGAGCTGCAGAAGCATCCTTTATTGATCTGAGTTCTGTGTAACTGTTTAGGAACTGACCTTGCAAACATATGGAATAGGAGCCTAACAGGGTGTTCTAGGACCCATTTCCATATTTCCCAAAGGGATGAAGGTATCATCCTTTGCTGAGCCTCCAGGACACGTCCCTAACTCAAGAGTTTGAAGGTGCTTAGCATTCACATTGCTTTGGGCCAGGCAGAGCTGCTGTCCGTGGCAGTATGGATCAAGTACACCTGGCCCATCATCCACAGGCACTGGGTCACCCCTGTGCTGCAGGAGTGAAGCTGCTGGGTAGGTGTGTCAGCAGAAGTGCCACTCCTTTTCCTCATCCCCCAGAAGGTAAATAAACTTAATCCCAAATTCACCTGCTGCTGTTTGTGAAGAGCAAATAGTTCAGAGTTTGAAGTGAGGTGGGATCACACCATCCTGAGGACCCTGGGGAAGAAGAAGGTGTCCAGCACAACCCTACGGAGCAGGGCAGTTTCCAAGCCTGGGAACACCTAATCTCTGCCTGATGCACAGCCTCTGCATCCAAAACTGAGCCATTCAGTTTATCAGGTGCAAGAGGGGTTCTGGATGGACCTGATGCAAAAAAAAACGTAGTAGATACCTGTGCATTTCATATCAGTGGATTTCATAGAATCACAGAATTGTTAAGTTTGGAACAGACCTTAAAGATTGTCTCATTCCAACCCACTGCTACAGGCAGTTTCCACTGGACCAGGCTGCTCAAAGGCCTGTCCAGCCTGGAACATTTCTAGGGATGGGGCATTTTCACCACCACAGCGAAAAATCGACATTGTGTTGTCTTTGAACACACACAGAGGAATGAACTTGTTTTCGGCTGGGACAAAACTACACCGAGGAGATTGTAATCACTCCCAAAGAAGTGGTATGTGCATCTCACAAGAAGAAATAAAAGCACATCATCTAAGTTTGCTCAGGTTTAGCGAGGGTCAGAGATTTTCGCACCTAGGTGAGCTGTCATCTGCCTTGGGGCAATTCTCTTTTCTCTCGCATCCTTTGCTGGAACAGCAGGAGAGCTTTACTGGCGTGAAAGACTAAACTGGCTTCAGGCTGTAAAGAACTTGAGTCACAAACCACTTCTCCCCCCTCCCCCAAAACACGCTTTCATATTAATTCAGGTCCTTCCAAAATTGTCCTAATATCTCCTCACCTGTTTGTGCTGAAAACCTGTTGAGGGCTGAGGCTTAAGCTATGGGAGGTGACAAAACATATGGGATTTACTCTAAGCAAAGTAGTTCTAAACTGATGGGGTAAAAACTTCTCCTTTTAAATACCCAGGAACCTAAACCAAATGATGCAACTACCTAAGAACAAATACATCATTAAAACACAGCAGCAGCATCTAAGATTAAAAACTAATCATTCCATTAAAAAGTGCAGCAATACTTGCACAAGTGAGCAGCCTCAGGGCTCTGGGATAAGCTTGTGTCACTATAGCCCCTGTCAGTACAGTGACCAAGAGGGAGCTACACGTCTGGTACTCCAGATTTCTTAAAGGGATATTTAGAACAAAAAACTTTATCACAACTTTTGAGCACATGCTGCCTCTTTAAATGTTTTCCTCTTTATTAAAACTTAGTCCTTTCCTTTGGTTTGGGGTTTTTTTTGGGTTTTTTGGTGGGGTTTGGGGTTTTTTTGCAAGTTCTTTCATTTTTCATTTCTTAAACCTCCCATTCAACAACTGTTTTGGCTTTTAATGATGGGATTTTTTTTGTTTTCTGCATCCAGCAGACTGTAAACCATGTCGCTTGGATACAGTAAAAAGCTGAAATTCCACGGATTTACATAGTCATACATTGTGTTGGGGGGAAAGTATGCTGGACGTTCTTTGATTTTTGTACCTTGCTTGAGCATTTATAGGCATTTGAGAGAGGGAAAAATATAACGAAAGGAGATATAAAGGGAAAAGAAGAAAGAAATGGGAAACAGAGAAAGAGAGAGAAAGAAAGAGAAAAAGAAAAAGAAGAAGAAGAAGAAAAAGAAAAAGAAAAAGAAAAAGAAAAAGAAAAAGAAAAAGAAAAAGAAAAAGAAAAAGAAAAAGAAAAAGAAAAAGAAAAAGAAAAAGAAAAAGAAAAAGAAAAAGAAAAAGAAAAAGAAAAAGAAAAAGAAAAAGAAAAAGAAAAGAAAAAGAAAAAGAAAAAGGTTTCCATGATGGACGTAAAATATGACCTTTTCTTTTTGAAAGTTTGTGCTGTCCCTCTTGTTTAGCACCAGTGCTGCTCACCCTTTCCCTTCAAGACGTTTCAGAGCTGTTAAGCATCTAGGGGTGATAATTTGACTTTCAGCTAAGCCGGAGGGCTGCAGCAGACAGCGGTAGGTGGTGATGTAATAGGTACCAAGGCACATGGATATATAAATATCGTGGCTAGGGCTAAAGCGCTATGGCTGAGCAGCTATAGAAGATCAGCACTTCAGACAAGACTCCTGGAGTTGAGATCAAGTTCAGAAGCTCTTGCTCCCGGGATTTCCTCTCCATGCAGCCAACCCAGGGAAACCGCAGATCCTCGGGGGATTGAGCACTAAGCTCCCTCCCTCCTTCCTCTCCGCTTTGCTTTCTGGTTTTCTTTTTTGTCCTTTTTTAAAATATTTTTTTTCCTGTTTGGCTTTTTGTTGGTTTTTCTTTTTTCCTCCCCTTCTTTGACCTCAGCATAAAGTGGGAGCTGTGGGGAGAGCGTATTTTCGGAGCGACCGGCGGCCGACCCGTGGCTACCCGCCCCTAAGCCGGGATGCCTCTCCCCGCGGCGCTGCTGCCGGCGCTGCTCCTGGGGCTGCTGTGGCCAGGGGCGGTGCGTGGCCGGTCGCCCCCGGGTCGCCTCCCCGCGGGGCCCCGCCAGCGCCGCTGGGACGCGGCTCTTTTCG